AAGGGTAGTTTGGGGTTTCATTGACCTTAATGTAGTGTTCATATTCAACAAACCTATTCCTAGATTGCTGCAGTTATAAGCCAAGCAACAGCGTAAAATAAATGTTTAGTTTTCCTGTTTTAAGGTTTTAATAGCTGCCTGTCTGAATTTCTGGTGTTCATAACTAAAATGTAATCTAAGAATGACATAAATATTGATAATGATTTTTTTTCCTAATAATATTGGTAAATTAGGTATATTTATGGGTGTAAAGATGAGGGTGTTGTTTCTTTGTAGTGTCATGTGTAAGGAAAAGAACAAAATAACAGAGGCAGGGTCACTGTTAGTGTGTCCTATCTTCTTACATAGGAAATAGGGAAAGTTATACATGGAATAACAATCTGAGAATAATGAAAAATATTAAATAATCGTAAAGAGGAAATAGTGATGCAAAGACAAGCACTCACCACCTACTATAGACTGATGTCCAGTCGGTTTCCAAACAGTGGCCACTTTGAAAGACAATCCCCCTTCTACCTCCTACTTCTTTCCATACCACCGCTTTTTACTGCTGAGCACAATGTTACAGGTATGGAATATCCCTTTGGCCAGTTTGGGTCAGTTTGGGGTCAGTTTGGGTCAGCTGTCTTGGCCATGTCCCCTCCCATATCCAGCCTGTCCTGAATCTACTTGCTGGTGGGCAGAGGGAGGGGGGGAAAAGTTTGATGCAGTGCCAAGTAGATGTCAGCAATAGCCAAAGCATCAGTGTGTTATGATCACTGTTACAGCTACAAATCCAAAACATAGCACCCACATGCTGCTAGGAAGAAACCTAACTCTGTCCCAGCCAGTCCCAGTATGTGAATTTAGCGTTTATGTATTGTGAAAATAGTTAATTCAGGTGTATTTTTGCACTTGAATAAAATCAAATCACACCAGAATGATAATCTATTCATTGCCTGGAATGCATAAAATAATTTAGGCAGTTTATTTGGAAGATTAGCAGAAGGGATGCCTAAAATGACTTATACTAATACTACTACATTAAAATCATATCTACAAGAAGACGCAGGTATGTTTTAAGACAGAATTCTTCTGTGGTTCTGTGTTAAACTCCTTTATAAAAATGTTCATCTTTCTGGGGGAGCCACGGATTTAAACTGATCTTCGTGGTCATAAGTGCATTAAATGATCCAAGGAGATCGGAACATCCTCTGATTAATATTTTCAATCCTGCTTACTTTTAGACCAGGCTATATTACTTCTGAAAGCCCTTGATTTTTTTCCTCTATAACAGCATAGTTCTAACTCAGTGAAACAAGAAACTCTTCTTATTGCAACCCCTGTGTAGATTGGAGGGGGAATTATTGATGAAGAAGATGTACTGGGCAGTGACTCTTTGAATGGAGAGAACCTCATTAAGCATGTCGTAGTACATGTGTTACTAATTTTTAATTTTACTATTCAGTCTTATTTCATATCAATCATTTTACACTGCAGGAAGTTACGTTCTGGAGGATTATCGTATTTAGCAAGCAGTTAAGACCACAGTCACCCTATTTCAGTTTTATGTCTTAGAACACCATTTGTGGCTTATGTTCCAGAATGTAATGTCTGTCTTCTCATATTGAATAATGCAATTTTACTGAAACTAGAGAGCTCCTTTCTGTCCTGAGTCTGTCTATGTTCAAACTGTTGGACTTGGGTGGGTGGGAATCTCACTGCTGAAGAGCTAAAGAATGGGGGCTTAGAAATGTCACTCAGAAAAGGGGAAGCCCATATGGATGCAGTAGGCTCTATAGTTAGTTTGTTTCTCACACTGCTCAAAATAAACAGAAAGTATAATAAGGACCAAAAATTAGTGAACAAATTAATTTCTATGCTTCAGTTCCTTTTCAGTAACATTAGAACAGTATCACTCGATATAAAGACAACGAAAGCATTTAGAGAAGTAATTATTTTTTGAGAAGAACTTCAGTAATAAACACTTATGAGAACTGAAGACATGAGGGAAACTGACAGTACTGTCTTCAAAGCAGGGTTCTAAGAGTACAGTAAATGCGGGGGAAAAAAGAAAATAATGACGCAAAAGCAAAGGAATGAGTAGCTGCCAATTAAGAGTAATGCCAAACTTGTGTGGAATTAGCTGGGATTCAGGAGGGTAAATATTACATATAATTATACATACCCATGCAAGATGTAACAGATGGGATTTTCATGGACAAATTTAATTTCAGCATTTCCAGTTTTCTGGAATTTTGACTTTATATTTTTTCACTTTTTTTTTACTCCCCCCCCAGTTTTATTGTGAATTTTATTATGTGCCTGGCAGTTACAAATATTCCACAGATGCAGATAAAATAACATACTGAACTTTTCGTTTTAGTTAGAAAATTTATTCATATACAAATCAATAAATCGGTACCTAACTGTTGTTGAGTAATCATTTACTGTCAGAAATGTAGCAAGGTTGCTGTCTTTTCTGAGGTTATTCTTTCCTATTATGATTTTTTGCTACTTCTATAGCACATACAGAAAAATGGGGTTGATGAAGTTGAGAATTAATGGGTATTAATGCAGATTACACATTAAAAGTAAAGTCTAATTGATTTGTTTTATTTCCTTTTCAAAAATAGGCATCATGACTCATATTGCACTCTTTCTTAGAAAGCCTACAAATGTCTGAAGTTTTATATGTGAAATTATTTGCATAGGCATCTCAAACTTGATTTAAGAAAAATATTTCAAAATATCACATGACTTGTTAAAGAAGCATTATTTGATAATTCAGCTGTTATAGTGTACTGCTTTTGTCTGGGATAGAGTTAATTTTCTTCACAGTAACTGGTATGGGGCTGTGTTTTGGATTTGTGCTGAAAACAATGTTGATAACACAGGGATGTTTTAGTTATTGCTGAGCGGGGCTGACACAGAGTCAAGGCCTGTTCTGCCTCTCAGCCCACCAGTGAGTAGGCTGGGGGTGCACAAAAGTTGGGAGAGGACACAGCTGGGACAGCTGACCCCAACTCACCAAAGGGATATCCCGTACCATATGACGTCCTGCTCACCATATAAAGCTGGGGGAAGATGATGTTAGTCTTTCCAATGTAACCGTTTTGTGCAATGGAGCCTCCCTTTCCTGGGGATGGCTGAACACCTGCCTGCTGATGGGAAGTGGGGAATGAATTCCTTGTTTTGCTTTCCTTGCGAGTTTAGCTTTTGCTTTAACTGTTAAACTGTCTATATCTAAGCCCATGGGTTTTTTCACTTTCGTCCTTCTGATTCTCTCCCCCCATCATGCCATGTCAGGGGGGATGAGTGAGCTGCTGTGTTGGGCTGAGCTGCCTACTGGGGTTAAACCACAACACACAGGTTGAATGCAAATATTACTTTTGCTAACAAAAAGGCAGTTCTTGGCTTTATGTAATAAACTATAAGTTTTGCTATACATTAGATGGACTAATACACAGTCTGCATATTTCTTTTGGTGTCATAGTACTTTAACAAGTATATTCTGTATTATAGATAGCCTTAGCAGTAGCTTTTGTTATTCCATATTTTCTCTGCTTTGGAAACGAGTCATATTTATTTTCTGCCTCTGGCAGTTTCTGGTTTTGTAATCATAGGATACAGGGCTTCTAGTCCTATAACTGAAACGTGAAGGCATGTTTCCCAACAGAGTAACTTCATTGCAAATCAGTCATAGTGTGGAAAGCCATCTATTACTATATCTTTGTTTTGTTTGGGGAGTGTTATCAGCTGAATTACATTGTATAAAATGTAATTCTTTTTGTTGTCTTAAATAATTAACGTTTTCACAATCTTGCTTCAGATATGGTTGCAGTGGTGTCACTCAGATATCTGCCAGATTGGCCTCATGACTTGTTTTAGAAAGGGAATAGTGGCTACACTATCTTCAGTGAAGTATAATGTTGTTTAAATCAGTATCTTCCAGCTTCAGCTATAGCAGCTGGGGACACTCTTATCCAGCTGTCTATGACTGTCCAGCAAATAGAGGTTACTTGTTTCCCAATTCAGCCAACAGAGCAGAAATGCAAGTTCTTGCTGTTCTGCTACACTAGAGTCAGCAACAGCTTCAGAACATTTAGTCAGCAATTAGGTTAATTTTGCTAATTTTGCACTCAAGTGGATCAAGTTGAATTCCACTGGCTGTACAGTGAAGAATTATCTTGTCAGGTATATAGTAACAAGCATCCAGTTATAAAAAGTCTTGAATTTCTACCAATATGAAAAATGATCCTGTCTCTTAAGTATCGAGCAGCTTTCATTGTTCTTCCTGTAAGAATACAACTTAAACCTTATTATGCCACTTCTCTATCATTGAATCACTTGGTTTGCTTGTTTCATACAGACTTTTACAATGCCCCTGTTCCTATTCAGATAAATTAAAAGAAGCAGACCAAAATAACCCTCAGCATTTTGAAGTTGTTCTCACCAGCAACATGCTCTAGCTGAGATGAGCAATTTCTAATAAAAAAACCTTTTTCTTTCTTCCTATAGGATATTTTCCTATGTCTTTTCATTGCTGTGAAAAGCAAAAAGAGTTGATTCAAGAAATACCAGTGATATATTTTTCTAATATTTCACTACATAAAAATAGTTTGCTTTACTAAATGTTACATAGTTGGTGGTTTTTTTTTGTTGTTTTTTTAAGAGATAATTACCTAATTCTTTTATTTTGAAGTTATAACTGAAGATCTAGCTTCACCTCTACAGTAAAGGAATACCTACGGTCTACGTCTGTACCCTTGCTTTAGGTCCAGCCAAGCAATAACGTATACAGTTCACCATCAGGCAGCATGTTTAAATACCTCAATCCTAGGTGAAGCTTTGCCTATAAATCCCCCATATAGCTCCTGTTCAAGGTCATCAGCAGAGCTGGGCACAGTGGGGCAACACTCATTATTTTTATATATTAGGCCAGCTACTGTGTTCTTTTTACCTTGTTCTGGATAAGGCTATTTCCAAAAGTGAATATAAATATATATTATTAATTGTAGGATGGAATGGGAAATTTGAGAGTCACTAAAAAAGGAATACGACTTGAAGGAATATCTGAATTTCTACTTCCACTATACGTGAAAGAAATCCATTCCCGAAAGGTAGGTGTTTTTCTTTTTTTTTTTTTTTTTCCTTCCCTTAAATTACAGCTGGTCTAAAAGATTAATTCTTACACCTCCTAAATTAGCAATCAGTAGAGGTTTTCTTTGAGAATACTTTAATGGTGAAAACTTCCTTTATGTCAAATATGATTATATATTATGATATCAAATATGTTTTTGGTTTTTTTTGAAACCTTGCTTTCCTCTTTAAAGGAATGCCTTCTCCTAAAGAAAGGAGATTCAAAGCATGTGTATTTTATACTTTAAATGATTTCAGCATTGGGAATGGAACATTTTGACTATTCATTTGACCTGAACTACAGAAAAACAAGATTGGTGCTATGTGCAAAATGCACTGAAATAGAGAAATGGGTTTGTATATGCTTTAAGTTCGGTTGTGTGGTGTTGTTGGTTTTTTTTTTTTTTTGCTTCTTCCTTTTTCTAAGCTGCATAATTTATCTAGACTTTTAAGTTTTCAAAGCAAACCATTTTTAATGTTGCCTAAATGGAATTGTTTCATCATCTAGCAGCAGGTTGTTACAAAGGAATAAAGAAAATCAAGATAATATGTATTCAGAAATTCAGTGTAGGTCATTTTAAGTCATTCTTTTTGATTCAGTCGTGCTGGTTATGTTAACATCATCAATGAATGAAAAAAAATCATTTTGAAATACCAGAGAGCTCTTAAGTTCTTTTTACCATGCAAATGATGACCTATGATCAGAGAGGAATCTTATAATGGTTTTCATTTAATCATCAGCAAAGAATTTTAATATGTGTACTGCAAAAGTTGACAGGAATGAAAAGTACCTTTACTCTAAATGCCTTTGTGGAAAATTCGGTCTGTTGAAATTTGTCTTCTGTGTATATAAAAAGTCTCAAGTGCATTCATATGAGATCATGACAGTTTCCCGTTCTTCTTAATTAGTTCACTGTGGTGTTAATATATACGCAAGATCAACAGTTTGTCTCTTTGTCATCTTTTTCTGTAAAACTGAGGTCTTTCAATGTGTAACAACAGAGTGGCAATATTGTTCTAGGTAATGAAAAACTATAATATTTAAGGAATTATGTACTCCTAAAAAGTGTTGAATTTTGGTTACTTTAACAGATATTCATTCATTTTTCAACTCATCATACATACAATGTAACAAAATCTTGTTCATAAAGTTTCTTTTAAAATAGTAGCTAAAAATATTAACAACTATCAAAGATAAATCTATAATCAAGCATTTAGTAATTAATAATTTCTAAATAAATGAAAATATCATGGCTTTGACATTGATCAGAATCTGGGGGGTGGGGATGGTGGGGGGTGGGGGTGAAACCATGGATCATTCAACACATAAGTACATAAATAACCATTTAAGTGCCAAGCACTGTTACCAAGGGTAAACTAATAAGGCTAGATTCTGTCTTGGAAGGGCATGTTTAAAATTGGAAAGTGAACTTCAGCTATGGGTTTACTTTTTCCTAGACCACCTTGCCATGGAAGGGTGGGAGTCCCTCTAAAGTAGTTACTGTAATCATCTAGTATTTTCCTTACAATTATGAAACTATAACATTCATCAAATTAATTAGAATGCTTTTTATTTTATCTATATCTAAATAGAACAAATATTTTAAGGGTTCTGTTAGAACTCAGTATCTAGTACTATGCCTTAATATCATGCCTAAAGCATGGACCTCTTTATGTATGGGAACATTCATACTAGACTTTGAGATTGGTGTAAAATTTCCAGGCTGTATAACCTTTCAGGGAGCATAATTTTTCTTAGAAGTTGCAAAACATTAGTCATAGTCTGTGCATTTTTCCCAGTTCTTTTCTATGGGTGAAGTGTGTCTATTATTGTTCCAAGTCCCGTTACTGTACGTGAGAGTTATGACTTGGAATAGATATTTGCTTGCACAGGGCTTCATATTGCAGATCATTGGTTCTGTTAAACTAAGCATGAAAAGTTTTTTGTTTCAAGTCAGAGTAGTAAGAGACTCAAGTAGGGTCCTAATTTCACTCAGAGCTGCTAACCAATCTCAGAAAAAAATGCACACAAATGTTACTACTGGAATGGAACAGGATGCAAAATCTACCAGTAGTCTAACACAAGGTCACGCTAGTTCTGTGAGGCTCGTGAAAGACACATAGACTTTTCAGTGAACACCCTCAATCCAGGCATTCCATAGCAGAAGTCTACCAGGTCTACTTATACCTATTAGCTTTAAAACACTTGTTACCTAGCTAAAAACTGGTATGTGTGTAGACTTGGTTCTCATCCATCTTGCAGCAGTTGTGAGCTAGGTTCACGTTCCAGTCTTTTGCTAACTTGCTCAGTAGTTGTGCTAAAGTTTCAGTAATTTCTGCTGTATTCAAACACACATGTCATGAGGAAATGATGAAAGATCTTTCTGGAACTGTATGAAGCATTACAGTAGGGATTTGTGATGTCTCTGCTTGGTGTTTCCCCAGGCAAGTTCCATCTCCATGTGATGCTATGCGTTTTGTCACTTACAGAATTGATGTCGGTGCTGTAGAAATCTAAGAGTAAGCCAGGTTTTCTGAGCTCTCATGGTGGTCAGTGGAGACCTAATCGATACACTCGATTCTGAAGAGCTATCCTGCTCGCCAGCCATTTGCGTTTACTTGGGGTGACTCAGAGGGAAATGCTTTTCCCCACTTTTTTTATGGAAGCAGTTATGGTTTAAGTTTGATATACACAGGAGTTAAAATGTACCGTGAAATCAAACGGTCATTTGAAGCTGATACCTTTGCAGTCTTTTACATGTGTATGTTGCGTATTTATTTTCTGAGAGTTTTCTTTTTAAGCAAATTTGCTCATTTCCCTCTAAAAGAACACAGACATTAGTGACATCATCTGATTAACTCTTGAGATTTACTTCTAACATATTCAGTGATGACTTTTTGGAATAGGTGTATTTCCTCTGCACTGGCGACATGATTCGTAGAATGGCCATTGGGCGCCTTCCATGTAGGGCTCTCAGACGTGCAGGTCGTGGCATCGCTGCTTCCCCATTACTCGGCATAAAGCAGGGTTAGGTGGGAAGAGGCATGTGCTGGAGCTATCTTTTAGCTAGATATGGAGCTGATAAAAAGCGTTTGTTGATAGCACAGGGTTCACCTCTGATTCTGGTAGTGAACCACTGATAAGAGTCCTGGGCAGTCTGTTGAGTAGCTTGGCTGAAGTGAGCTCTCCTGCTGCTGCATCCATACTACTGCATTTGTGAATGGAATCAAGGTATCATTTTATTAGTTTGTTACATAACTATGAAAGCACTTCATGGTGTTTTCTTGAGAATGTGTTCTTGGCTTTATTGATCTTTTTCATTCACACATACAGTAGCACTTAAGTGTTGAAAAAAATAAAGTTTTCTCTTTGTTATATTTTTTTTCCATTGCAGATAAAATAAGTAGCTCCTTGCCCTATAAACTAAGGGGGATTGCTTTGGTTTTTCTGTACAGGTAACAAGGTTAAATGTGTATTCTTTGAACTTAGAGAACATGTGTGTTCAAGAGATATCCTTAGAGAACAGAATTTAATGATTTAGTTAAAAATTTATTAGAAAAAGGTCTAGAAAGCTAGAAACACTGAATACGTATAAAATTCTAACTGAAGACATGAAACTCTGAAAATTCTCTGTATATCTTGTATTTTTAAATATGTGATTGTGTGAGAACTAAAAAAAAATTGTAGGTAGGTTTCAAAGCAGAACTTCTTTCAGGTATTCCTTTTCTCTATATTTTCACTCTGGAGACTCGATATCCTTATAAATATTTAGAAAGCTTTATTTTATTGTATTTTGTTTCCAAACCTGAATCAGTCTTGACAAAAGCAATTCTACAATGTATTTCTTTCTTCACTGTCTCTTTAAGTGTGTATAATCATCACCACAGAATTATCCTTTGCCAAATCCAGACAGCACATTGGACATATTTAGGGTTGTGTTTGGACCTTAGGTGCCTTTGTGAGAAATCTAATTTTTTTTTTTTTCCTGAGAGAATAGCTTTGCTGAGCTTCTCTCTCATATAGGGTTATAAAGATGCAGCATAGGACATAACATCAAAAGCCCTTCTGAAGTTGAGGAAGGGCATCCACTCCTCTTGTCTGGTGAGGCAGTCTTCTCATTATACAAGACCACCAAGTCAGGTGTGTTTTCCACTAACTTATGCCCATGCTTGTTTTTTTTCCCAAGTGCATTTTTTACCTTCATCTACTTTGCAGTGATTTTCAGGGGGATGTGAATCCATAACCTTCCTAGGATCTGAAGTGAGACTGACTAGGCTATAGTTTCCAGTGTCTTCCCTTTTTGCATAATCTTTCGTAAGATCCTGCAAGTATGTCGTATTTGTTGATGTTGGGGTTGGGAAAGAGGAACGTGTCCTCTCACCAACCCCTGATACATATTCCAAAAATTCAAGGCTAAATGGTTTGCTACATCTACTGTCTTTTCTGCTTGGTAAGATACCCCATTGATGTGCAGTAAAACTAGTTTGAGAGTCCAGCAGTTCCACCACTACTGAGGTATATAGGTATTAGAGAAACTCCAGTTAGGAGATGTCACTGCTCACCATACTATGAAAAAGTCACAAAGGCACCTAAGAATCTGCCACCCTCATTGCTCAGTGTGAAGTGCAATAGTTGTTTCTGCAGCTACATGTCACAATCCTCTCTGACAAAATCTGAAATGCTCCCCAGTTCATTTTTCTGGTGCCTACTCCTCAGCATTGCCCTTGGGATCATTCACCTGTCACTGAGCATAAAGTCATTATTATGGCATAAAGGACTCCTTAAGTCATTTTGGCTCTCAATATGATGTAGTTCCAATGTACTGAAACCCCAGTGTCAGTTTATTGGCTATGAACAAGATATAAGGTTTTCCTAATCATAAGCTTTGCCAAGAGACAAGTCACTCTCATATTTGTTGGTGGTCTCTGTAGGGACTGCCGCTCTGAAATTGAGTTGGCTGTGCTTGCACTTCACTGACAG